CAGCTAAAGCAGGGCTTGGAGGGAAACGTATAGCACTAAAATCCCCATACTAGAGAAGAAGGAAAATCTCAAACCGTGAAGCCAGCTTTCACCTTAAGAAACCAAAACAAACAAACAAACAAATAGATAAATAAATAAATAATAAAAAATAAAATAAAAAAAGAGGAGAAAAGTAAACCCAATGTAAGCAAAAGGTCAGAATGGGAGTCAATTGGGAAATAAAAAAGAAAAACAATAAAGAAATCAATGAAACTAAAAACTGGCCCTTTGAAAATGTCAATAAAATTGATAGACTTCTACCCTGAACGACTAGTAATAGAAGAAAGAAGATGCAGATTACCCATATCAGGAATGAACTGACATCACTTTGTACTCCATATTGTAAAGGTAACTAGGGGACATTATGCATAACTTCATGTTGATAAATTCAACAATTTAAATAAAACAGACAATTCCTTTTTAAATTATTCAATTAATGGATATATAGTGTATTACTAGTTTCAGAGGTAGAGGTCAGTGATTCATCAGTTACATATAACACCCACTGCTCATCTCATCACATGCCCTCCTTCATGCCCATCCCCCAGTTACCCCGCCTCCATCCCCTCCCCTCCAGCAAACTTCAGTTTGGTTCCTGTGATTGAGAGTCTCTTATGGTTTATCTCCCTGTCTGATTTCATCTTATTTTTTCCTCTCTTCCCCTGTGATCCTCTGTTTTGTTTCTTAATTTCCATATATCAGTGAAATCATATGATATTTGTCTTTCTCTGATTGACTTATTTCACTTAGCACAAGTTCCATTTGGTTCCGTCCATGTTGTTGAAAATGGCAAGATTTTTTTGATGGCTGAGTAATATCCCAGTGTGTATATAGACCACATCTTCTTTATCCATCATCTATCTATGGACATCTCAGCTTTCTCCACAGTTTGGCTATTGTGGACATGGCTGCTGTGATCATTGGGGTGCAGGTGTCCCTTTGGATCACTATGTTTGTATCTTTGGGGTAAATACCTAGTAGTGCAATTTGCTGGGTCATCAGGTAGCTCTATTTTTAGCTCCTTGAGGACCCTCCATACTAATTTCCAGATTGGCTGCACCAGCCTGGGTTCCCACCAGCAGGTAAGAGCTTCCCTTTCTCCACATCCTCACCAACATCTGTTGTTTCCTGACTTGTTAATTTTAGCCATTCTGACAGGTGTGAGGTGGGATCCCACTGTGGTGTTGATGTGTATTTCCCTGACACTGAGGGATGCGGAGCATCTTTCCACGTGTCTGTGGCCACGTGTAGGGCTCTTCTGGAGAGATGTCTGCTCATGTCTTCTTCCCGTTTCTTGACTGGATTGTTTGTTTCTTGGGTGTCAAGTTTGATAAGTTCTTTATGGATCTTGGATACCAGTTCTTCACCTGATATGTCACTTGCAAACATCTTCTACCATTCTGTAGGTTGTCTTTTGGTTTTGCCAACTGTTTCCTTAGCTGTGCAGAAGCTTTTTATCTTGATGAAGTCCCAATAGTTCATTTTTGCCTTTGTTTCCCTTGTCTTTGGAGACGTGTCTAGCAAGAAGTTGCTGAGACCAAGGTCGAAGGAGTTTCTGCCTGTGTTTTCCTCTAGGATTTTGATGGATTTCTGTCTCACATTTAGATCTTTCATCCATTTTGAGTTTATTTTTGTGTATGGTGTAAGAGAATGGTCCAGTTTCATCGTTCTGCATGTAGCTGTCCAATTTTCCCAACACCATTTGTTGAAGAGACTCTCTTTTTTCCACTGGATATTCTTTTCTGCTTTGTCAAGTATTAGTTGACCATAGAGTTGAGGGTCTATTTCTGGGTTTTCTATTCTGTCCCATTGATCTATGCGGAAACAGACAATTCCTTGGGAGAGATGAACTATCAACATTCAGTCAAGGAAAAATATAACCTCAGCAGCTCTATCTCCATTAAATAATTTAACAACATATAAAAATGATGATACATCATAACCAAGTGGGATTTATTCCAAGGACACAAGGTTACTCAACACTTAAAAATCAGTTAATACAATATTGCATAATAACATATTAATTTTAAACAAGTTTCTCAATGGGTGAAGAAAAGACAAAACGCTTCCTGATAAAAACTCTCAGCAAACTAGAAATAGAAGGTATCAACCTTAAAAATAAAATGGCCAGGGATGCCTGGGTGGCTCAGCGGTTTACAGCCTACCTTGGACCCAGGGTGTGATCTTGGAGTCCTGGGATCAAGTCCCACATCGGGCCCCCTGCATGGAGCCTGCTTCTCCCTCTGCTTGTGTCTCTGCCTCTCTCTCTGTGCCTTTCATGAATAAATAAATAAATAATCCTTAAAAATAAAATAAAATAAAATAGCCAGTTATTTTACTAGCAAAATGTGTTTATTCAGTAATAGCAGAGGAATTGCAATTTGGAACAAGGCAAATTATAGTGAGCCGTAGGCAGGTCCAAAGAGAAAAAGGGAAGGTCAGTTCTTTTTAAGTTTCAGGAGGAAGTTGTGGAGGACTGTTTTGAACAGAAGTCTATTGGAGAAGAACAAGAGTTCGAGGTTATGGCACTTCCTCATTGGCAGTAAGTGGTGGCTAGTTAGCGTGTTGTTGTTAGGCCTGGGAGAGATCTTCCTTCCTTCCTTCCCCCCCCCTTTTTTTTAAAGCATGAGATTAAATTCCAATGGGAAAAATGTTCTCTCCCTCCAAGATAATTCTTATCTTCCTTCTTCCTGCTGGTGATGAGGTCCGCAAGGAGTGGTACATGCATAACAGTGCATCTTTGGGGTTGCCTGACTCCATTTTCAAAAAGTTTCCTGCATTTTTACAAAGGAAACTTCCTATTACTGATAACAACAGCTACAAAAAAAAAATCTATCACCAACATTATTCTTAAAAGACTGAATATTCTCTCCCTAAGATTGAGATGAATTAAGATATATGCTCTCAGTCCTCTTATTCAGTATTGAACTAGAGAGGCTGTAGCCAAAGCAATTAGGCACAGATTGAAGTAAAAGGCATCCAGACTGGAAAACAGAATATTCTTTTTTATTTACAGATAGCATGATTGTATATGTAGAAAATCCTCAGGTATCTCAAAAGAGTTACTAGAACAAATAAGTGATTTTAGTAAAGTTAAGATCAGTATGCAAGAATCACCCTTATTTCTCTATATTTGCATTTAACAAGCAGAAATTGAAACGAAGATACCATCATCAATAACATAAAATTATGAGAAATAAGTCTGACAAGAGATATGCTAGATATGTAAGCCAAAAACTACAAAACACGGCTGAAAGAAATAAAAGCAGTTCTAAACAAATGAGAAGATATACCATGTTCATGGACTGAAGGACTCAATATTGTCAAGATATTAATTCTCTCAAACTGATCTAGAGATTCAATGCAATCCCAAACAAAACCCACTAGGCTTTTTTTTTTGGTAGAAGTTGGCAAGCTGGTTCTAAAATTTATGAGGAAGTGCAGAGGATCTAGGATGGCAGAGAGAACTTTGTGAAAGACCAAAAGTGGAAGATTATACTATCTGATTCAAGAATTATTATAAAGCAATAGCAATAAGGATATCTTGGAAAATTTGCATAAAAATAGGCAAATAGAGGGGTTCACGGGTGGCTCCTCGATTGAGCATCTGGCTCTTGATTTTGGCTCAGGTCATGATCTCAGCATGGTGAGATCAATCCCCTAGTGGGACTCTGTGCTCAGGGGGGAGTCTGCTTGATATTCTCTCTCCCTCCCCCCTTCCCCCACTCTCTAAATCAGTCAAATAAATAAATAAATAGATAGATAGACAAATAAATAAATAAATAAATAAATAAAAATCTTTTTTAAGAAATAGGCAAATAGATCGATGGAACCCAGAGAGCACATAAATAGACTCACAGAAACACAGGACTACTGTTTTCCAACAGAGGTAGAAAGGCAGCGCAGCAGAGAAAGAATGGCTATTTCAACAAACAGCCCTGGAAACCAGATAGCCATAGGCAGAGAAAACAAGCTTGAATTATATCTCACACCACACACCAAAATTAACTCCAAACGGGTAAGAGATGAAAAATGGACAAAGCACGGAACATTCATATAATGCATTGCTACTCTGCACTAAAAGGAATAACTATCGATTATTGCATCAACATGAGCAAACTTGAAGTAATTATGCGGAGTGACGTGAGCTAGGCAAGGGCGGATAAGACCACGGCTCTGTTTACACAACTGATGGGAAAGCAGACTGATGTGCAATGACCTTGCAGACCAGTGCCGCCCTGTGCAGTGACCCCGCAGACCAGTGCCGCCCTGTGCAGTGACCCCGCAGACCAGTGCTGCCCGGTGAGCAGCTGCAGGTAAGGGAGACTGCGCTGTTCGCCTTGTAGATCCTGGGAAGGGCTGCACAGGTGTACCCGGATCCAAACAGGGCAACTGCAAACACGAGGGTCTGCACCTCCTTACACCACAATGAAGCTGTTTTTAAACCTCAAGCTGGCTCCGCTCCAGCTCCAACGCTGACCCCACCCCTGCTTTCCCTCCCCGGACGCGGAAGGGTCTGCGGCAGGACCCAGTCCCGCGGACACCGAGCCCCATTTCCCGTGCCTGCAGGCGGGCGGGCCCGGGGGAGAAAGGCACCGGCCCCCTGCCCCAGCCGGGACCGCGGGGCAGGGGCGGGGTCTGTTGTCCTACGCCCGCCCTCAGCCCCGCCCCAGCCCGAGACCACGCCCCCCGCCCTGCGTGTGAGAGCGACGCTCCGGCCTCGCAGATCCCAGCCTCCATGCACGCCCCGCCCCGCAGCCGCCCCAGGCCCAGTCGGGCCCAGGTCCTCCCGCCCTGCAGGGCCCCCCGCTTCGTTCCGGCCACGCCCACCCCAGGCCCCGCCCCCGCCGCCCAGGCCCCGCCCAGGCCCCGCCCCTGACAGCCGTAGACCCCGCCTTCGGCCCCGCCCCTCTTGCCTCTCGGCCCCGCCCCCGGCCCCGCCCCGCCCCTCCGAGCCGCAGGCCGAGCCGCGTGTGTCCCGAGCGGCCGCAGAGGTGGGCGCAGGCCCGGGGTCGCCCTGCGCCGGGTGTGGCTCGGGTCGGGCTCCGGGCGGCCGGGACCTCGCCGAGAGCGGCCTCCGGACGCGGCCGCGCAGGTAAAGCCCCTGCCCCGCCCTGGGCCGCCCCGGGGTCCCGGGGTCTGGGGTCCCCGCCCCGGCCGCCGGCCCCGCGCGCGCCCCGCCCCTCCCCGCCCCTCCCCGCCCCCGCCCCCGCCCCCGCCCCCGCGCGGCCGCGCGCCCCGGGCTGGGCTGGCCTCCGGGCGGCTTCCCGGTGCCTCCGGCGCGCTGACCTGCGGGGCGCCGCCCCCGGTGCCGCGTGCTCGTCCCCGCTGGGCGGACAAAGGGCTCGGTGCGCCCGCAGCCCCGCGGGGGTCCGGCTGCGCCCGGCGCTGAGCTCCGACAGCCGCGCCCCGGCCTCGAGCGCCGGCCTCCGGGGCCCGCAGCCCCTTCCCGAGTGCAGCCCGGAGCGCCGAGCAGGTGGACCGTCGCCCCGCGCGCCCCCCCGGGGCCCCGGGCGCCGTGGGTGTGTCCCGGGCTCCCGGGCCGCGGCGGCAGCGCGACCTGCCCTCGCTCCTCCGGGGGCCTTTGCGGATCCCTGGAAGGAAGTCCCAGGCGGCCCCGCTGGTCGGATGCTTCGGGGCGCCCCGCCATCCCCCCGGGTCAGCGTGCTCCCCGGGGCTCCCCTTTGCGCTCTCTTTCAGACCTGGAAGGGGCCGGAGTTGATGCCCGGGTCGGACGGTCGCCCGCACGGCGGCGGCTGGCAGGTGAGGAAGAAGCCGCAGCGCCTGGGGCCGCAGGTGTGGTCAGCATGGGCCCCGTGGGGAGGCACAGCCCCGCATCCCTGCCGGTCCCCGCGGGCGGATCCTGCCTCATCCTCCTCTTCTGCCTGCGGCTGGGCGCCCCCTGCCCGCAGAGCTGCCAGTGCCCCGAGCACGCGGGGGCCGTGGCCGTCCACTGCAGCGCCAGGGGCCTGCAGGAGATCCCCAGGGACATCCCCGCCAACGCCGTGCTCCTGAAGCTCGACGCCAACAAGATCGCCCACGTCCCTAACGGAGCCTTCCAGCACCTGAACCAGCTCAGGGAGCTGGACTTGTCCCAGAACACCATCGAGACCATCGGCCCCGCCGCCTTCGCCGGCCTGGCCGGGGGCCTGCGGCTGCTGGACCTGTCCCATAACCGCATCCGCAGGATCCCGAAGGACGCCCTGGGCAAGCTCAGCGCCAAGATCCGCCTGTCCCACAACCCCCTGCACTGCGAGTGTGCCCTGCAGGAGGCCCTGTGGGAGCTGAAGCTGGACCCCGAGTCGGTGGACGAGATCGCCTGCCACACGGCGGCGCGCGAGGAGTACGTGGGGAAGCCCCTGATCCAGGCCCTGGACTCCGGTGTCAGCTTCTGCAGCACCCACCACAAGACCACCGACGTGGCCATGCTGGTCACCATGTTCGGCTGGTTCGCCATGGTGATCACCTACGTCGTGTACTACGTGCGTCAGAACCAGGAGGACGCCCGGAAGCACCTGGAGTACCTGAAGTCCCTGCCCAGCGCCCCCGTGGCCAAGGACCCCGTCACCCCCGTGCCCTAGTGCCCGCTGCCTGAAGCAGAGCACCGCCGACCTCGGCCCCGACACTCGGGTAGCAGATGGCGACCGACCTGTGCTTTCACGGCGGAGCAGGGGACCTCACGGCCCCTCCTGCGCGGCGCCCCACCCCCACGGAGCCCTTCTCGCGCTGCCTTCAAGCCACCCCGCCCCGCTCCAACCCAGAATATTACCATCCGCCCACTTGACGGGCCAGGAAGCCCGAGCCTGAGAAGTGGCATTGCCCACCACCACTCCGTCGGGCGGCCACCCAGCTGGGACTCCAGCCCGGCCCGTCTGTCCATGTCCCTTGCGCTCTGCGGCCTCGTCCACGTGGCGCCCCTAGGGTGTGACGGCATCACGAGAAGAGTGTGGCTCGCCCACGCGCGTGAGGCCTGCCCTGCGGACCGGGGGGTGTAGACTCCTCTGCGGAAGGCACAGAGCATCCTACACAGCAGGACTCGTTGGCCTTGTCCCCCTGGTAGCGTTCCCCGAGCCCATCTGACGGCCAGACTGTCTCCAGAGCATAGTAGAGACCGGGTTACACTCGAGAGGTAAGTGCAACGCGTCCTTCAAACTAAGCTTTGAACGACTTTGTTTATTCTCGGAGCGTTGGGTAAGGGCAACGCCGGGGCCAACGCCACTCCGGGGAGTGGGGCAAGAACCTAAAGCCCCAGACCCAAGGAAACCACGGACAGAAACGGGAGAAAGGTCCGGATCACCCAGGGGGCAGCGTCCGCGGCCAGGCCGGTGCCCCTGCCCCCAGGCCCGCCCTGTGTGCCCGGCTTGGGGGCCGCGCATCCTGGCTCGGGCCGCGCCTTGGCCCCGAAAGCGGCTCCCTCTCAAGGACGGCAGGACCGGCGCTGGGTGTCCAAGGCCCCGCAGCGGGGACTCCGCCTCCCGCCCTCTCTTGGCCTCAGAACTCGCTCGGCGCTCGACTCTTACCTGTGCTGCGTGACCTTCGGGGTGGACGTGACCCCCACCTACCTAACTGCAAGCCGTCTCTCTAGTTTTATTTTTTGAGGTCTTTTTTATGAGTGCTTATTTTTAAATTGCTTCGAATGTCCGGGGAGGGGGAGGCACACATTGGGATAAATTGCTTATGAGCTTAAGGTGTACAGGTCACAAGAGGTTTGCACCTGGAGAGCGTCACGCGACCTGAAGTGGGCCGTGAACACGGGATCCTGTCTGCGCGGATGCAGAGACCCAGACCCCACAGTGGACACCCCCAAAGGCCCATCCAAACGAGGAAGGTCCTGACTTCGCCAATCATGGTGGATTAAAAAGGAACGACTGACAGGTCCCAAATACCCTCCCGCGCCCATCACCCAGACCAGGTGTGGGGGGACAGGAGGCAGGGCCCGGTGACACCCCCGTGGCCTGTCCCTCTCCTGGGCGCAGGTAAGCACTGCCGCTGGCCGAGCAGCAGGGCGCACAGGCTCCTTGGGCGGTTTGGTCCTCCTTCCCCATCCATCCCAGGGTGCACGCTGTGGGGAGAGGGCCCTGCCCCCCCCACCCAAGGAGCTCACCACCCATGGCTGTGCCCAACGGAGGGGACCCGACAGAGGTGCGGGGGCAGATGCCAGGGTCCTGCGGCTGCCACTCATGTCTGGGGGTGCCTCTCCTTCACGTGGGGAGCCTTAGCCCTGTGGGGGCCCTGTCACGCTGCCGCGGAGCTCCTCATTTCCTCTATCACCAGAATTAGCCCAAAGCCTGGCTTCCACCCAAACACAGCCCTTCAGGGGTGCATGGGGAGTGTGGAGGGGCCTCTTCCCTCCCGGCCCCTTTCCAAGGACCCTGGACACACCAGAAGGGTCCTCTCCCTATCACCCTGAGCCCAGAGTCGGGCTGCCGGGCCCTCCTTCTGGGCCTTTCTGGGAGCCTCACCCTTCAGGAGTGTCCCCGAGCGGACACCTCCCTCCAGGGAAGACCAGCGGGTCCCTAAACTGCAGGACCACGAAGCTCCCTCCTGCTCCTGGGAGCCTCGCTCTCCTGGGGTACAGCCACCTTCTCCCCCTTTTCCCCTGCCTTTCTCTCCCCCGAGGGACCCCTGGAGATGACACCTGCCTGGCCCACCCCCTCCTTGTCACCATGTGTGAGCACAACTTGCTGGACACCCCATGGGCCCTACAGCTGCCTCAGCCCTCACCCCTGCGCCGATGGGTAGCTGACCCCGTCTTAAATCTGCGGGGGCTGCGTGGGGTCAGGCTGGTCTCATTGAGGAAATCAGTGTTGACAGTGTCCAGCACATGACAAAAGGGGTGCCTCAGTTGGCCCATCTGTCCAGGGCAGCGGGGTCACAGCCTTATGGGACATGGGTGGCCCCCGGCTCTCATGTGATACAGATAAGGGACCTTCAACACTTTATGTGCACACACGGCCTGGTGTGCAAAGCCCTTTTGTCATGGGAGGTGACACTTCACAAGGCTGAAGTCAGGGCAGGGTGACTTTGGGGCTTCCTGTGGGAACAGATACCCCAACTTGGGGTGGGGACTGGGCCTCACCTCCTTCCCATGGGGGTCAGTGGTGGGGATCTGGCTTCCAGGGAGGCCTTAGGGCCAGAGGGGTAGGGGTCCAGTGAGGGGTGCAGGGAGCTGGTGAGGAGTGCAGAGGGGTGCAGGGGGCTGGTGAGGGGTGCAGGGGGCCAGCAAAGGGTACAGGGGGCTGGTGAGGAGTGCAGAGGGGTGCAGGGGAACCAGTGAGGGGTGCAGGGGGCCAGTGAGGCGTACAGGGGGCCAGTGAAGGGTACAAGGGGCCAATGAGGGGTGCAGAGGGGTTCAGAGGGCCAGTGAGGGGTACAGGGGACCGGTGAGGGTTGCAGGAGGCCAGTGAGGGGTGCAGGGGGACCAGTGAGGGGTGCAGGGGGCTGGTGAGGGGTGCAGAGAGGTGCTCCCGGAGCCCTTCCGGAGCCTGGTGTCCCTGCCCAGCCGCTGTGGTTGGGCTTCCTGCTCCCTTGGTGCTCAGCCTCACCATGGATGCCTCTGGAATCCTGAGCCTAGGAGGGGACACCCTATGCTCGTGGCCTCCTGGCCCCCCAGCCTCCCTCCTGTTTGGGCTTTGGGGTCACTCCCTCGGATGGCCCAGGGGTGAAGATGGGCCATCCTGACCCTGGGGGGCTCTCCCTGGTGAGGAGGCTCCCAGCTCGGCTCCAGAAACCCTTCTACGGCCTCCCCTGGGAGCTGCCTGCAGGCCGTGGGGGGCAGGCTGTGTACCCCCCAGGCTGCGGTGTGGCTGGGATGGGGGCGCCGGCTGCTGTGGGTGCGTGGAACAGCCTCCTGTGGACCCCACCCTAAAGCCCTTGAACTGGGGGCCGCCCCCCAGCCTGGCCTGCAGTGGGGTGGCTGAGTGTTTTAAGTCGGATGTGAGATTGGGTGGTCCTGGGGGTGGCCGCAGGCAGGAGACGAGGGGGGTCCAGCGGTTAAAAGCCGAGCTCGGTGGGTGCCGCTGCGTCCCCCCCGAGGTCCAAGGCATGTGTGCAGGTGGACTCCCCGCCGCCGGGGGCTGGCCAGGCCCAGTTGAGCAGCGGCCCAGGGGGTCAGTCGGGGTCAGCCAAGGCCGGGGTGCAGAGCACTTCCCCGGGAGCTGTGAGCAGCGGGGCTGGGCACCGGGAACCCCGGGGGGTGCCTTCTCCACGGATGCCTGTAGCCCAGACTCTGACCCTGGACTGAGTCACCTGGGGAGGACGCAGGGCTGCTTGGGCAGACCGTGGCAGAGATGGAACTTTCTGGAGTGGTGGCAGCTTCCTGCAAACGCAGGCCCCTGGGATGCTCTCTGGAGTCCTCCGTCCCGGAAGCCGGTGTGGAGTCGGGGTCTCCTGTCCTCCCCGCCGCCTCCCATCTCTCAATAAACCTCTGTGCTTACACGAGCGGGAGTGGGTTCTGTTTCCTGCCCCCCCTCCCCCGCCCCGCAGAGCGTCCGGCCCGTCAGACCCGTGAGCCCACGGCGTGGAGGAGCCGGGTCCGGGCTGCGGCGGCTGCTGGAGTCCCTGTGTCCCGGCTGGAGCCCTCGACATCTCGGGGGTCGCTTGGGGTTGACGGCGGCCCGAGTCTTCACGGCAGGCGACGGAAGCAGGCTCCGCTCCGCCAGGAGGCCGTGGCCGCCGGAGAGCACGGGTGTGCGCCTGCTGGGACGGCCTCTCCGGCCTCTCCTCGGATCGCAGCCCGTGCTTGCCTCCCGAGAGTCCCCCCGGCTTCCCGGTCCCCACCGCCCGGCCGCCCGGGCCTCTGTCCCCGCCCCGCTCCAGCTCCTGGCCGCTCTGGCCGGATCACACGTGTGCTCGGTGCCCCCGCACCCCCGGCCCCTGGCAGCGGGGGGTCGCTCTGCCTCCTGCAGGGACTCCCACCTGCCTCCAGTGGCGCCGGCCCTGCCATTCCCAGAGGGATCCCAGCCCCTCCCTCCCGGCCCGGGAGCCCCTCCCCTTTCTGTGAAGGGTTTATTCTTCCTCAAGGAGAAACCTTTTTCTGTAGTTTTACCTCCTCCAGAAGTTTCGCGTGAACACGAAACCATCATCACACCGAAGAATTATAGTGGCTCCCGACTGATGCCATTTAGCGGCCACGTCTCCCGGGTGGCGTCAGACGGTTCCCGGGTTGGTGGCTGGGAGTCGGCGACTCCAGGAGGCGCGGCCCTTTCCCGTGAGGGCTCCCGTCGCTCCGGCCGCGGTTCCGCGGTTCTGTGCTGTCCCGTGGTCCTCCCCCGTCTGGGGGTGTCCCGCGGGGGCCCTTCACGGGGGGCGGGATGTGGGCACTGAGGCCTGCTGGGGCCCCTTCTCACAGGGCGGAGCAGCTCCCCCAGACGTCTGCTGCCCCGTGGCCGTGGCGGGGCACGTGGGAACCGCGGGCGACTGCCGGGTCTCTATCCATTTTCACAAGAGGATGTTGCTTCCTCGGAAAGTGACGAGGAATTTTTTTTTTAAGATTTTACGTATTTATTCATGAGAGACACAGAGAGAGCTTGCCCTCGAGGCCCGACCCCCGTGCCCCGAAACCCCTGCCTGGTGACCCTGTGCCTCTCTGCCCCCCGCCGGCACCCGGCGAGCCAGCTGTGCTCTCGTGTGCTCCCCGCCTCGTGCCAGTCGCACAGACGCGCATGTCCTCATCCCAGGGGCCCGGGAGCGGGGGAGAGGGATGAGCCGCGGGAGGCGGGAAGGAACGCAGGCGCCCCTGGGGGCCGGAGAGGCGGGGGCGGACCCCTGGAGCCCCCCGGGGCCCCCCGAGGAGCCTCCTGCCCACACCGCGGTGGTCGCTCCGCGCGACCTCCAGAATCCAGGCGATCAGCTTGCGCTGTTGAGGCTCCGAGGTGGGTGGCTCTGGTTTCCGCAGCCCCAGGGACGGGAACGCTCCCCATTTCGCGAGTGGCCGCTGTGGCCCGAGCACGTGGCCGCCGAGCCCCGTGGCCGCCCTCCTCACCTCAGGGGGTCTGCGTTCTCGGGTCAGGGTGCACTTGGCGCCCTGGGGAGCTCACCTCACCTGCGGGCCTCCCTCCGTCTGCAGAGGAGCAGTCACGGGCCGCAGTGTGGGGGTGCAGCAGGTGTGCCCACAACACCACACGCTCTCACGCCTGCACCCTGCGACACACGCACACGGTGCACACAAGTTCACACGTATAGCCCTACATGCATGTGTGCACACACTCATGCTCACTGTGCACACGTACCAGGCGCACCCCCTCACATGCGTGGTCCCACACGTGCACACACACACAGGGCCACACTTCTCCCTCTCATGCAGGCCCCCCCAACCGGTGTGCCCCCCCACAGTCATCATTTCTCCCTCGGAGCCCGTCAGCCTCGCCCACGGGGGCTGCGGCGAGGGAGAGCCCTGCCGACCATCTGGCCTGGGGCCTCTGGACAGGCGGGTGGGGGCTCGGGGGGGGGCTGGGTGTGCGGCTGGAGGAGGGTGGGCATGTCAGGGGAGCAGGTGCTTGACCCTGCTTTGGGGAGGGCGGGGATGGGAGCTGAGCACCAGAGTCAGAGGGTGTGTGGCCTACGGGAGGGGGCGGGGAGGTCGGGGGCGGCCCCCAGGCCCCAGGTGGACCCCGCGCGGGCAGCCCCCCGGGTCGGGAATATTTCCATTTTCAGCTGAGAAGCCAAGACCTGGCGGCCGCAGGGGCAGATGCCCGGGAGGCAGCTGCGGGGGCCAGGCTGGGCTGGGGTCCAGGCCCCCCCACACCCAGGCCTGCAAGTGCTCACTGTCGAAGCAGAGGGAGGCCTCGACCTCCCTGGGGGCAGAACCCAGGTGCGAGCAGGAGCGGAGCCGTCCGTGCGCCGGTGAGCCTGGACTGCGGGGCCTGCGTGGGGCACCCGGCTGGAGGGGGCGGCGCAGGGGACTGCCAGGCCACCACTGGGCGCTGCTGGGGATGTTGGCTGCGCCCCCTGGGCGTCTGCGCAAAGGAAGTGGAGCGACGGGCCCACCGGGCCCACTTTTCCTGTGGCCCAGACGCTCTCGGAGAGGGTGGGCGTCTGGAGAGAGGGCCTCGGCCGCAGCGGAGGGGGGGCCAGCAGGTGTGAGGGCAGGTGGCCGCCAGGCAACGTTAGCAAGTGGGGGCACGGGGCACAGGGTGTGACCCGGCTGCGGGGGGGGCAACGGACAGCAGACAGACACCGGCACCGACCCTGAAGCCTCAGCAGCCAGGCGGACGTGCACCCGTCCCCTCCTCCCCCTGCACCTCCTCTTCCTCCCCCTACACCCCCACCCCTTCTCCCCCTGTACCTCTTCTTCCTCCCCCTACACCCCTGCCCCTCCTGCCCCTGCACCTCTTCTTCCTCCCCTTCACCTCCTCTTCCTCCCCCTATACCCCTGCCCCTCCTCCCCCTGCACCTCTTCTTCCTCCTCTGCACCCCTGCCCCTCCTCCCCTTGCACCTCCTCTTCCTCCCCCTCCACCCCTTCTCTCCTCCCCCTGTACCCCTGCCCCTCATCCCCCTGCACCTCCTCTTCCTCTCCCTGCACCCCTCCCTTCCTCCCCCTACACCCCCGCCCCTCCTCCTCCTGCACCTCTTCTTCCTCCCCTGCACCCCTGCCCCTCCTCCCCTTGCACCTCCTCTTCCTCCCCCTACACCCCTGCCCCTCCTCCCCCTGCACCCCCGTTTCCTCCCCCTGAACCCCAGCCCCAGCACAGGCTTTTCCAAAGGGCAGGGAGGACCCGGGGCATCTCTGAGCGTGGTCATCTCGGTGCTGGACTTCCCTGAGCGCTGGTTGTCTGAGGCCGTGTGCAGGGTGAGCCCCCCTGGCACAGCTCTGAGGTGCTGCCCCTGCCAGGCCCCACCAGGGTGCTGCAGGTGGCCCCCTTGGACAGGCGCATGCTGTCCTGAGGCCTCACTCCTCCCGCTGCCTCACAGCCCACACCCCCTCTGCGCCCACTGCTGGGCACTGGCCAGGGTGGGCCTGGCTTGGCCGGAGGCTGGTCCCGCTGTCTCTGCGGCGTCAGTGGTGCTGACCAGAGGGCAGCCCTGTGTGCGCTCAGCCGGAGCCAGTTCCCCACCAGCCTCCCCTGCTCTGTGGTCTCTCCCGAGCCGCTTGCTGGACTCGCTGGAGCGAGGGCTCAGATTGGACGCCAGACCTCCTGTCCTTGCCCTGAGCTGAGAATCAGAGCCTGTCAGTCGGATGTCACAATAATTAGGACACCGAGCCTGAGGTTTTCCAAGCCAGTAACTTGCATCGCCAACGGACAGGAAGCACTCGCTCAGTTTTTAACTGTGTAGCAGCCCCGCGGGACCGACTGGGCAAGTCCTGTCACCACGACAGGCCCAGGAGCACCTGCCGCTGTGACATCCATGATGACTTGGGGATGTAACGCGTCAGGATTTTTTTAAAAGGACAAAATTTAAAAATGCTTCAGAGTCACAGAGCCACCGCCTTGCCGAGATGCTCCTTCTCCACTCCAGGCTCGTTTGCGTGCTCCTGGCAGGACAGATCACTGCAAGGGCTCTCCCAAAAAGAAACTGTCCTTCCAGGAGTAAAGAACCCCCCCCCCCACCTTGGGCGTTCTGTGATTTGCTTGGATGTGGTTCGAATCAATGATGTTGATTCTATGTTCAGACATAGGATAGCCTTTTGCTTTCTAATGTGACCTGAAGTACTCCGACATTGTTTAGGGAAACATGCCTGAGCAGGTGGGTGGCGATGAGGCAGATCCAGCCGTTCCCCGCTCACCCCTCCACGAACCCTGCTACGGGCCATGCGGCGTCCATACCGTGCCATCCTGCCACGGTCCCAGGGGAGGGGTCTCCCTATTTTAGACCCAAGGGACTTCAGGAGACCAAGGCCAACGGGGTTTGGTGACTTGCTCGATTCAAACAGCAAGGGGAAGAACCAGGGCTTGAACCCCTCTCAGTCTGACTGGAAAGCTGTGCCCTTCACAATCCCACTGCACTGTCTTCTCAGCAAAGTACACCTGGAGCTGGGGAGCACCCAGAGGACCTGCACCGTGGGGGAGGCCGGGAGCACCTGGGGCACCTGCACCATGGGAAGGGTTGGGAGCACCTGGAGCACCTCCACTGTGGGGGAGGCCAGGGGCACCTGGGGCACCTGCACCATGGGGAGGGTTGGGAGCACCTGCAGCATCTGCACCATGAGGGAGGCTGGGAGCACTCAGAGCACCTGCACCATTGGGGAGGAACACTGAGGAGCCCTTACCGAATCTGCACCAAAGTTTCAGAGGAGGAGCTGGATACGAGTCAGTTGGCAGACATGCGCGTTCCAAGTTTCTCTAAGTGTTGTGCAGTGAGGTGCCAGCAGGTGAAGTGAGGGGGTGTTTTGTGCCCAATGGAGCGTGGGGTGGGGGCTTCTGTTGACATGAATCAGGGCGGGCAGCTTGGAGGGGCTGGGCGAGGAAAAGCTGAGACAGAGCACAAGAGAGGTGTCCAGCCTGGAGAGGGCAGGTGGCCCGGGGTGGGGTGTGGGTGCAGCCTGAGAGCCTGGGCATTGGGCAGAGGATGGAGGAGAAGACAGCCAGGGTCATGCAGGACCCTGAGGCTCAGCCTGAGAAATCCGGGTTTTAACCACTGGAGAGTTTAGTGGTGGCTGGGACTGTGTGGTCATGTGTGTGTCCCCAGGCCCCGCAGGGCAGCTGGCACTTAGTGGGCACTGTGTGAGCAGACAGCCACTGCCACCCAGAGCATCAGCTGGCACTGAACTTCAGCTGAGCCAGGCCCCAGGGACTGCCCAAGACACAGCCCTCGGCTAAGAGGGACTGGGAGACGTGTGCACACCTGTGTGTGTGAGCACGTGTGTGCACAGGTGTAGGGCATGTGTGCTTGTGCACATGTGAGAGTGTGCATGCATGTGTGTACATGTGCCGGTGTGTGTGCATGGATGCGTGCACATCAGTCTGTGCATGTGTGCAAGTATCTGTGTGTGTGCATCTGTAGATGAGTATATGTGGGGTGTGCATGTGTGTGTGGGGACATGTGAGTGCGTGTATGGGTGTGTATGTATGTGTCCACGTGCAGATGACTGGGGGTGTGAATGTGTACGTGTGTACATGTGCATATGTGTGCATGTGCGTGGGGGGACATATGCGTGTGCATGTGTGGGTGTGTACGTAGGGGTGTGCACGAGCGTGCATGCGTGCACACCTGTGTGGCAGAGGGCGAGGGCCGTGCTGGGGGTGAGGTCAAGGGCGGCGCACGAGGAGCCCCCGCGCCAGAGCGGTGCCGCGGTGAGCAGGAGCTTCGCCGGGAGTCCTGCGCTGACTCACCTGACAGGTGGTGAATCGGGTGAGTCCCATCTTGGCCGGACCGGGGGGCACATGTGAGCCCGCACGGCGGGTCGCACGGAGCCTTGTTCGGGTTTCGGGAGGGAGCCCGGGAGTGGGGAGCCCCTGCAGAAACTGCCACAGGCCATAGGTCTCCGGGAAACCCCGGCTTCGAAGAAACCACCTCGAATTATTTGTCACAGTGAAGACCCTTGAAGCGCCTCGCACGGATGGACGCACGAGGCCCGGCGTGGCCAACGCGATGAGGCGGTGCGGCTGCCACCGTGGCAGGAACGCGGCCACGTCACAGCACAGGCAAACTCAAGTGGAACCGATGCCACCTCGCAGACGTCCGGCCGCGGGACGAGACCCAGAAGAGCTCACTCGGAAAGATGTAAATATTTTCACGTTCCGTCCATTCCCCTCTTGCTTGCACTCACAGCTTAAACACGTCTTGGTTTACATTTTTCCCTTCCACCCGGTAGAACGGGGGTCGGATATGGTGCCAAGGACGCGGTGGCACTGTTTGTTGGCGAGGTCGCGGGCCCTGTGTGCCGCTGCGTCACCCGCTGTTTTCCTTCCCCCTCCCCGGGCCACCCCTGGCCCCCCAGCAAGCCAGACGCCACAGCGACAGCAGCCAGGCCGACAGGAAGCCGCCCAGGCCCCTCCCGCATGGGTAAACTGAGGCTCGGTGATTGGGAAGAAGAAAGCAGAACCAAACACGAGGCGTCCTGGCTCCCGAGTGCCTTTGCCCGCGAGCCCGTTGTGCTGGCCAGGGCTCTCCGGCGGGACAGGACGGGCAGAGGGACAAGAGCTTTGTCACGAGGGCTCAGATGGCAGGGGCTTCTGAGGGCCGCCGGCCTGGGGACACCCAGCGGGGCCGGACACGCAGCTCCAGTCCAGTCCAGTTCCCGGGGCAGGTGTCAGGTCCCACCCAGCGGCCATCCTGGGGAGGCAGGAGGCCCCCCCCCCAGTGTAGGGCTGGGGCATTAGACACGGGGGAGCTGAGGCGTTCCAAGTCCATCCCGCATGCCCATGAGCCCAGCGGCAGTGACCGGGGAGCCCGCCTGTGTGCAGAGACATGGGGGCCCCGTGGACGGGTGCAGTCCTCATGGAGGGACACACGACCCGCACCCCTTGGGATCCCTCCCCTAAGCCCACCCCCACGGCATCCCCGGGGGAAATGAGGCCAGAGGAAGCTGCCCCCTGCAGGCCAGAGGTGACTAGGGCCCCAGGGGTGCGCCCCCCACCCCGGGACCTGTTCACGGGGAGCCGTCCCCCCAGAAACACACAGACGCTGCTGTGCTCTGTAAGGAGCGTCATAAATATGTTTCTGTATAGTTAGGGTACAATAAATAGCTGGTACAAAACACGTAAGACGGCATGAGGCCCGCTGCCGTCCAGGCTGTGGGAGGGGGCAGGGTCTCGGGGGGCGGTGGGGAGGCCCCGCTGGTTCTGAGGTAAACCTTTGTGTGAGCTTTTCCTTGAAAGACAAATCCCTGCAGGAGGCGCAGACTTGCGGGCAGCGCCGGGCTTCGGGCCGGCCACCGGTCACCGGGCCCAGAGGCGGACGCACGTCCCCGGCCGGTGTGGGTCAGCCGGTCCTCAGCCTCAGCACGCGGGAGCGGGGCTCCTTGGCGCTGGAGTAGACGAGGTAGGAGCCGGCTGTGGTGCGGAAGGCCTCCCAGTCCCTGCAGCCGAAGGTCGGGAGGCTGTGCACGGCCACGAAGCCCTCGTAGCCCTGCCACCTGCGGGAGACACGCTGTCAGCCGGGCCGTGAGGCCCTGCACGCCAGCACCTGTCCAGCCCGCCCCGTCCCCCGCTCCCACGTGTCCCTGGACTGCCCAAGCTCCCCTCCGCCCGCGCCATGCTCAGCCTGCAGAGAGGGAAACTGAGACCCGGAACGGGCACCCGGCCCTCAGACCCCGCAGCGCCTCGTGTCCAGCCCGGGTCCTGCCCCGGCCCAGAGTCCCCTGCAGGCACCCCCAGCGGGTCCCGGTCATGCCAGGTGAACCGCAGGGGCCAAGCCTGGGCCTCCCCGCTCCCGGACCGGCGTTGACAGTGAGCCCCTGTCCCCAAACACAGCTGTCGTGCGGCCGGCAGAGTCCATGGTTCTAGGCTTTCCCGGCCCAAACGGACACGCGGTGGGTGGTTCATTCTCACGGGGTGGAGCCCCTGGGGCGGCGCCTGGGCCATAGGGTGCGAGGGTTTCCCTTGGGGCAATTGTCCCGGCCGCTTCCCGGGGTGGCTCCCATCCTGCCCGCGCCCAAGTGCCGTCCTCCAGCTTCTGGAAAACAACTCCTCGCGCTGACTCACGGTTTTCATTTTCTCCCCGTGATTCCTGTGCCTACAACTCGCCCATTTCTCTAAACTAAAACAATCTTTTCTCCAATTGCACGGTTGCTTTATCCGCCCCCTGTGTGGTCAGTCGTTCTCTCCGATTTTGAACGCGAAGCCTTTTCCGCAGAAGCCCCGAGGTTTAGGGAGTCACCCGGCCCCTCTGCCGCCTGCTTGGAGGAGGTCGTGGCGCCGGCGCCACATGGCCGTCGGGGCCCTCTTAGCCTTTCCGCTGATGTTTCTGCTGTTTCCGATTTTTTACGCTTAGATTTTCAACCCCTGGGAAGTTTGTTTCCACGTAAAATATGAAGCCGGGCAGATCGTGGTCCCCGTCCAGACAGACAGGAGATGACATATTTTATCAGGTAACACGTAACGCGTCCCTTCCCTGTTGACTGAGTCACAGCATTTACCGCGTGACGCGGCTGCGAACCGCCGTCTCTCTTGGCCCAGCTGCGACCACACCTGCACGCCCACGTTCGGCGGGAACCAGCTGCGGTCTCCACGCTGCGAGGGCCGCCTTCGCTGTTCTTCCTTTTCAAAGTCTTGGTGGCCACCTCTGAACACGTGGTCTTCCACACGAGCTCTCCAGCTACTTCGTCACGTTGAAAATTCCACTTTCTACTAAGTCAGGAAGTCGGAAGAGGACCGGGGACGTTTCTAGTGAGACGGGGAACGACCGGGATTGTTGGAGAAGAGGTGAAAAGCCTGGTTACACCGGTGGCCGCGGGGGACACTGAGGCAGCTGCTCAAGAGACACCACTGACAAGGAACGGGGCCTGGGCGGCTTTGTAGCAGAGTTTAAGCCAACGGCAAAGAAAGCAGGTCCTGCATCTGGACCCTCTCAGTCCGCAGGTGCGGGTACAAGACTCTGCACCTGTATTTATTAGGTTAGGATCCAGATCAAACGGGATAAAGGTAAGTCCCCAAAAGAAAATGCCGTTCATGGGCGCCCTGGGGTCCCGGGATCAAGTCCCACGTCAGGCTCCCCGCATGGAGCCTGCTTCTCCCTCTGCCTGTGTCTCTGTCTCTCTCTCTGTGTCTCTCATGAATAAATAAATAAAATCTTTAAAAAAAAAAAGGAAATAAGGAGCAAAGTTGCTTGTACTAATGGATGTAATTATACCCCTAGAAATTCCATGAGACTCTTCTTAAAGAAAACTAGCAGAAAAGAAAAAAAGAAAAAAAAAGCAGAACTGAGATGACAACGTGGTTGGGCAGCTAGATGCTAAGGTTAAGTCATGACGAGCGGCTGGAAATGGAAAGGAAAAGATCCCAGGTGCTGTGCTCTCGAAACCGGAAAGCCTCCGAGAAACGAATCCAGGGCCGTGGCCCAGGGCCCGGACGAGGACCTGGGAACTTGTACTGAAGCGCACGTGGCAACGGGAGGGAGACACCACCGCACTCCTGGACAGGATCCATTAGAAAACTGCCAACCGTGCTGGAAGCCTGCACACCTCCGGCCGGAATCCAGACCTGTGAGCGCCTGCGTGACCGGCGGGGCCACCTGGCCAACCTCGGGCATGACCCAGGCTCGGCCTGCAACCCGCGGCGGCTGGTGGTCGCCTGCACGGAAGGTGAGCCCCTCCCCTCCCAGGTAAACCCAGGCGGCGAGGAAGGGACAGCCTTGGGAGGCTCTTTACCTGTAGATAATACTGTTTACGGAGAAGGTGTTTCCATCAAAGGAGTTTGCAACCACCAGGAAATAATCTTCTCCCACCGAGAAAAACTCCCAGTCGAGAGCGCTGCGGAGACAGGGGAGCAGAGGTGAGCACACCCAGGCACGGGCTCCGGCCGGTTCTCCTAATCCCAGGACCCAGGGCCCCGTGGCAGCCCAAATCCAGGGCGACTTTCCCGCACAGCGAACTGGGTCCACTCCAGGGAAGTGCAAACCAGTCGTTGCCTTTTTTTTTTTTTCAATTTTAAAATTTAAATTATAAAATACAAATAGCATGATATGTGCCGTCTTGACCGTTTTCACGTGGTTCGGTGGTGACAGGTACGTCGAGAGCGCTGTGCAGCCGTCACCGGCATCCATCTCCAGGCCTTCCTCATTCCCCCAAACCGAGCCTCTGTCCCTGTGGAGCACGAACCCATTCCCCAGCCCTGGCGCCACCACCCTACGCTCTGCCCCTGACGTTGAGCGCTCCAGGGACCTTACGAGTGGAATCACACCGCGTGTGTCCTCGGTCTCACTGAGCATGGTGTCCTCAAGGCCTGCCGTGCGGGGGCCTGTGTCACAGCCCCTCCCTTTCAGGCTGGATGACAGTGCACTACGTGGAGGGACCCGTTCGCTGCCCACCCATCCATCCTTGGACGGTGGGCTTGCACACGCACAGCGCTGTTGGGCAATGAGGGCGAAATCTTTCAAAGAGGTTGAAGTAGGGGCACCCGGGGGGTCAGTGTTGAGCGTCTTGCCTTCGGCTCAGGGCGTGACCCCAGGGTCCTGGGATCGAGTTCCCTATCAGGCTCCTCGCACAGAGCCTACTTCTCCCTCTGCCTGTGTCTCTGCTTCTCTCTCTGTGTCTCTCATGAATAAATAAATAAAATATTTTTAAAAAAATAAAAAGAAAGTGAGCCGTCTCGCTGTGAGTTCCCACTGTGCCCCCAAAGCAGGTGTATTTCTGTTCAGAGCCATGCCATTTGGTCAGAGGTCCATCAGCGGGCGACGGCTGGGGTCACCGGAACGGACCTGCCTGCATGATGGACTACCGTTCGGCCGTGAGAAGCAGCGAAGCGTTGGCGGGCGCTCCTACGTGAGGAACCATGAGGACCTGTGCTGAGTGAGAGCAGCTGGGCACAGGGCTCGCCTCCCGCGGGTTCCACACACACGCGGCGTCCGGAGCTGGTTGCTCCATGGAGGCGGAAAGTAGGCTGCTGGCTGCCGGGGCTGGGGCGTGGGGAAGAGTGAGCGCCGGCGGGTGGGGGTTGCTCCCTGGGCTGGCCCGAAAATGTTCTAAAATCACCTGCTGGTGGTGACACATATCTGCACTTTTTTTTTTTAACCTGCACATTTAATAGAAAATCGCTGACTTGCAGCAAACAAAGCACAGTGTCCGAAGGAAATTAGAGCCAAGGTTCCAAATAGCAGCCCCAGAGTCAGCCCACGGCCCCCGGAGGCCACATCACACCCCAAGGGCAGGGACGAGCCCTCGCCGCTGCCGCCACCGCGTGTGTGGCTCTGGGGATCGCGCGTGGCCTTCAGGCGCTGGCTCCGGGGGCAGCCCTCCCATGCCCGTCCTCCCATGCCCGCCCTCCCGTGCCCGCCCTCCCGACCGCCCTGACGACCACCCGCCCCAGGCACACCTGCACGTGGGGATCTCTTGGAACTTGACGAACGCCTGCGCAGTGACATTCAGCTCGTAGATGACCGAGTTGACGACATAGGAGTCATTGTGCACCTGCGCCTCCACGTCGTAGCTGTGGCTGTTGGCCACAGCCAGGAACACCCTCTCTCCAATGCGGAACACTTCCCAGTCGGCGGCGCCGAACGTCTGCGACAGACAGAGCAAGAAGGAGTGCGGGGCGGGTGGGGGGGGCGTGCGGGAACTGCGACCCTCAAGATATCCCGGCGCTGCCGCGGGCAAACACAATGCCCGCCCCCCCACCTGGCTTTGCCCCCTGCCCGCACGAGTGTGCCCTCACCCAGAGAGATCGTCCCTGCAATGTGCTTCTTGGCCTTCTGTGCTCTTCCCCCAGGGCTCCCGTCCTGAAGGTGCAACTGCTGAAACACCTCCTCCAGGTAGCCCTCCTTGCTCCCCCCAGTCCTGGCTCTGAGCTCCCGAGCAGACTCTAGATACCCGTGTTTCTGGCCACAGGCCGCCCCTGGCCCGAGGCTTTCCCTGGGCTCCATCAGCAGCCCCAGCTCTGGCTCCCTCATGCTGCTCCTCCGGGAATCACGTATCACCCTCGAGGAGGGCGAGGGGCGCACGGGCAGCAAGGCTGCGCTTATGCACAAACGGTGAGCCCGGGAGCCCTTGCCCCGACCCGGAGCTGCATGAACGGGGCCCCCGCGCGGACCCACGTGGAGGAGGTTTGTGTCCAGCCTACGGCCAGCATCTCAGGGGTTCTGGTAGGGCCGTGCAGGGCGGCGGAGAGGTCGGGGGGTCCAGATCCAGGCCCCGACCTGAGCCCTCAGGAGAAAGGACAGGGGCAGAAACAGATGGACACATTTCCCCGGGGAAATCGGGGGTGGTGGTGCAGGGGGAGGCCGTCTGGACGTCCCCACAGGAAGGCGGCAGATGGTGTGGGTGGTGCAGGAGGAGAGCGTGGCTGCTCCCCGTGGCGGGGTCTGCGGCGCTTGTCACTGCCCCCGGAGAGCCCAAACCACAGGGAGTGGACGCTGCCGGGCTCTTGGTTCCCGTGTCAGCAGAGACCCCGTCTGTCCCCGTGGGCTGCTGATGGCTGCAGAAGCTCCAGCGGCACACTTGGCATTCAAGTTGTCTTTAAATGTTTGCCCCCCGACTTTCAGCTTCTGATAGCAGCAGAGGGACGCGGGCCGGCCTGGCCCCCCTGCTGACGGCAGTTGTGAGCGTGACTGTGCAGGCCACCGTGTGACACGACGGTTCTGGGGAGTGGGCACTGGAGGGGCCGCGACCCCCAAACGAAGGGAATCACGTGCACGGGGAGCCTGCTTATCCGACCTTTCCTCTGAGGACTGTCCTCACCACATGGCGCGTGGGCACGGCGCTCGGCGGGTGCAGCCAGTGACCCGGGGTGGGGGTCCCCAGGTGAGCCCATGAATGGAGCCAGAAGGGAAGGAGAAGAGGAGAGAGAAGCAAACGCTCAAATGCACGAGGGCTAGAATGTTTCCAAATGCGGTTGAAGACACCAAACCACAGATCCGAGAGGACCAGAGACCCAACGTGTCCTGTTCCGGGAGCTGACAGAGAGGACGAAGCGGGAAGCCTAGAGGGGAAGGAGAAGACATGTCCCGGGCCGCACGGCGCAGGGACAGCAGCGCAGCGACACCCGAGACCGGGGAGGCTCAGCGTCAATGGCAAGACGTCCTCAGGGTAATCGAACGGCAAACATGTGAGCCCTGAATCCCAAAACCGGTGAAAACAGCTTTCTCAAGTGAAGGTAAAAATAAGGTCATTTTCAGAGAACAGTGACAGAAGGAATTGCCAGGGGGCCCGATTTCCAGGACAGGCTGGAGGTGGTGGGAGTGCGGGCGGCCACGCGGCCGGGGCAAGGGGAGGCGAGCTCAGGGCGCACACGGACCGCGGGGCGTCCGCAGGGCTCCTGTGACCAGAAGCCACGTGAGGATACACACGCACACAGCACCCGATGGCCAGGCGGGGACGCGGTGTTGTCACGGGCTGTCATTCCTACATATCAGTAATGACGATGCAAAAAAAATAAATAAAAAATAAAAAATAAAGATAAAATGTGGGCAAAAGACTTGAACAGGCATCTCACAAGTGAAATTACAGAAAGCCAGGAAACTGGTGGGGACGTGTCCGAGGTCTGCAGTCTCCGGGGAATTACAAGCTTAGAGCACCCGAGACACCACCTCACACCCAACGTGTAAAACCAAAAGTCCTGGCGAAAGCAGACATTTCCCCACATCTTGGATCCTCCGCGTGACCAAGGACGCGCTTGCTCCACATCCAAGCTCCACCTGCTCCCCGGAGGGAGGGGAGGGCGGGGTGGGGTCCAAAGGCAGCCCTCAGCTTTCCAGCCGCCCAGAGAGGGGCCCAGGATATGGGGCCCGGGATCCCTGCTCCCCGGCCTCCCCCGAAGCAAGAAAGAGACGTGCTTTCAGGACGTTAGATCCGTCGGGGCACATGCTTTGCCGGGTAGCAAGTCCTGCAGCAAGCTGAGGACAGGGAGTCGCCCCGCACCTCAGAGGGGGCATCCCCGCTGGCCGCTGTGCCCCCGACACTGCGACGCTCTCATACTGGGGCAGCAGGTGGTTGTTAGCACCCTCCCCTCCCCCCCGCACACGTCGGGGTCACGCTCGGGGCCAGGCTCCAGGGGGATTTCCGTTGCGTGAACTAGGGCCCGGGCCCGGGGACACAGGGATGCCCACAGCCCCCCAGTGGGCAGGCTGGGGACCGGGCTGCCTCCCTGGGGACAGGTCATCCCTGAGTGGCCCCGGGTGGTCCTGGCCGGGCCAGAGCTGGCTACACGGCAGGGGCACCCCGGGCCCACCGCTGCCTTCCTCCCTGCTTCCCAGTGCCCAGTGAGGCCCGTGCCTGAGGGACATCCCACATCCCTGACCAGCCCCGGCCAGCCTCATGTGCCTGCCCCTCCTTGGCACATCTGCCACCTGCTGGGATGCCGCTGTCCCCACATGCAAATCCAGGATGTGCGGCCCAGCCCACCTGCTTGGCCCCCGGTGGCCTCACTCCCTGCTTGGCCAACCTCAACCATGGGCAAAGAACATTCTGCCGTCGAGGTGGCGTTTTCTCCAGGCCCAGCAGAGGGTGCCATTGCCGTGGCCCAGCCGGCCTGGCCCTACTGAGACGTCCTGGCACTGCCTAGTCCAGCGGCTCTAGAACGGGTCTGGCCCTGTCCTGAGGGGACGGACCGGGAACTTCCGGCTAAAGAACAAGACTCATCAGGACAAGGACCAGGGGACCAGGACGCCTGCGGGTCACTGACTCCATGCGGGCGCCAGGAGCTGGGCTAGGGCTTTCTTGGATTAGCGTGTCCTCTGCTCATGTGGCTCCATGAGGTGGCACCGTCCGTCCCCTGGGGCCGCCTCACAGCACCCGAGCAGGCTCACACACACTGGGGTCCACGGAGCCTTCAGCGTCATCCGCTCTGCGGCTGCTCCCCGGGACAAGTGCTGGGGGCCCACCCCGCGAGGGGTCACACGTGGTGGCTCTGCAACTCCCGAGAAACCAAACAGGAGTGGTCAGACCGCCAGACCACAGGCTCCCTCCAACCCTACGCTGAGGAATCCACGTGGCTGGGAAACCACAACCTGTAAGTGCACAAGCCTGCACACATTCATGGACACACATGCACATGTGCACACGCAATGCACATGCCTGCATGCACCCTCGTGCTCCTGTGTACACACAATGCACACACCTGCATGCACACTCATGCACCTGTGTACACGTACCCACACCCACCTACACATGCCTGCAAGCACACTCATGCACCTGTGTACACACACCTGCACACACAATGCACATGCCTGTATGTATACTCCTGCACCTCTGTACACACACCTGCACATGCCTGCATGCACACACACGCACCTGTGTACACACACCTGCACACACAATGCACATGTCTGCCTGCACACACATGCACCTGTATACATACACCTACACATGCCTGCATGCACTCTCGTGCACCTGTGTACACATGCCTGCACACACAAAGCACACACCTATATGCACAGTCATGCACCTGGTACAAGTACCCACACCCACCTACACATGCCTACATGCACACACACGCACCTGTGTACCCACATGCACACGCCTGCATGCACACGTGCACACCCTTGCAGTACAAGTGGCCAGCAGGTGGCCTGAGGAGAGCATCTCCCTAGCTGCCAGGCTTCCTTCGGGCACCGAGCCACGCGACCTCAGACCACTCACTCGTCACGGAGGGGCGTACAGCAGGGGGGTGAGGAGGGGCTGTGGAGGATCCGGAGACGAGGCCAAGGGTGTGGCCGGAGCAGGAGGCAGGGAGGAGCGCTCAGGTGCGTGTGGGCAGAGGGGTGCTCATCCTGCCTCGGTGCCACGTGCCCACCCGATACAGCAAGTATGGGGGTGCCTCATTTGATTTGAATTCCAGACCATGACTCTTCAGTCTGTGTGTATCCCACGCACCACTTGGGGTGCTTTTACTAAGAAGTATTCACTGTTTACCCAGAATTCAAACTGAACTAGGCATCGGGGTTTTATCTGGGTGGAGGGTGGCAGGGACCCACGCGAGGCCGGGGCCGCGGGCCGCCGAGGAGCCCTCCTCCCACCCAGAGGAACAGGGCCCACCCCCGTGGCCTCAGCCAGAGCCCAGGCTCTTCCAGCTCAGAAGTGAGGGTGGGGACAGCGCGCCTGCGGCGGCACCAGCCCGGGCAGGGGGTGCGGGCCCTGGGCCTGCTGCAGGAGGCCCCAGTTCTGGGTACATTAGGGACTCATCAGAGAGAGAAGAAATCCCCACATCAAACAGCCCTGCCAAACCCTGCCTGGCACTGAGCAGGGCGGCCAGGCACCTGCTGGGCTGGGCACCCCCACCCCCCGCGGAATTCCCCTGCCACCCGCCCCAAAGCCCCCGGCACGGTGCCTGGCAGGCCGCTCAGGCACGGGGCGACGGCGCTTCTGGGGCTCGGCGGCGGGTGCACCTGGAGCCCCCGACAGCCTCCCTCCCCCGAGGGCGGGGTGGGGGGCTCCTCTAATCAGAGGAGCCGCTGCTCGGCCAGGAGGCCCTTGGGTTCTGGCTTCCATGGAGCAAAGAATCAAGGCCTAGGAGCGCCTGGGGGACAGGATCGGGAGGTAGGGCGTGCTGTCGGGAGGGCAGGCTGCCC